GCCCGGGCCCGGGACAAAATACAGCCCTACTCCTTAGTCTAGTTCTACTTTCTTCGTTTATCAAGAGCACAAAGAAATCTTTAATTTCTTAAAACAGTATTAATCAGATTGGTAAGAGATCATGAGAAATGATAATAGTGAAGAAGCTGCAAACCCATTTTTCTCCGAAGTGATTTGGAACGAAGTGGGCTTCTAGTCCCCTTACAATCAAATCGATATTTCGTATTTAGAACTCATTCAGTTACAGGATAGCTAAAATCTCCTCCGTAACAGTACTTTTATGAAGTTTCTAGAAAAAAAATTATCTTAAGAAAATTAAAGAATCCACGTCCCAGTTGAGACCAAAATAACATGCTCTGTTACTCTGAACCCCTCAATTATCATTGGTACGGAGGAGATGTTATTGATAAAAATTTCAACTATAATATATATTTCGAGTTGAAGGCACACAAGAAATTTGAAAAATAATAATAAGCAAACAAGAAACAGAGGAAATTGAGGGGGAAATACCTAGGAGGCCGAGCAAGCAAGAGCTGAGACTGGTCAGCTGCTGAAACGGAACGAGACCCAGATGATTTTGAGCTTGACTTTTCAAGAACAGCAGAAATTGAGCTTAAGTTGCTATCTCCATCCTGTGACATCGCACTGCGAAAAAACCCCTTCAACCCCTCCATAAATAGAGAAATTGGGTTTGAATAACAACTAAATCTTGACCGATTTGGTATTCCCCTTCGACTCTTTCTAGGGTTTTAGGACTTTGGAGTGCTTTTCATGACATCTTCCTTTTTTTCTGCTTAAGGTTTAAGAATTAAGAGGGTGTTTGGGTGTGTTTGAAAAGACTTTTTGACCAATATTGTATAGGTCTATTTTGATGATTCAAATATAATGGTGATGACATTTAGTCCCTCGATTATATTAAAGAGTAGTACATTTAGTATTAGTGACACAATACATTTAAAAATTAACTGTGTTATCCAACTCTGATTCATAAAGCAAATCTTATACTCTGAAGCAAACCGTTTCCTCTCCTTTTATTGGATAACACAAATTATCACTTTAATTTCTCATTTTTAGATAATATCTTCTAAAATTTTGACCTTAAAAATATCTCCCTTTGTACTAGTTTTCAATGAGAAAATAATATTATATAGCCGTTATAAAAATAATAGCCGAAAAAAATATATAAAATTTATATATTTTTATATGTATATATATATATATATATATATACACATTTTGTATGTTAATATACAAAAATTATACAAATTTTAAATACTTTTTCGCAACCAAATATAAATAATTTCTGACACGAACTAAAAGTGATAATACAACTTGGTTATTCGTTTGCTTTAATAATATGCTTAGAAGTGATCCCGGCAACTCTAATTTTTTTAAATTTTAACTTTTCTTTTTGAAAAAATCAACAGAAATTTTTAAATGTTTATATATATATATATANCTGAAGCAGAAGATTTGCTTCATGAATTAGAGTTGGGTAACACTGTTAGTTTTTTAATATATTGTGCCAGTGAGACTAAAGGTGCTCCACTTTAGCATACTTATGGGACTAAATATACTCAGGGTTATATTTGAGAGACCAAAATAGACCTACCCTCAAATATAATGGACAATATTGATCAAAAACTCTGTTTGAAAATAAGTCAAATTAACTTTACTAAAAAGATCCATATTTCGAACCGGAGGGAGTAATATTTTAGAATCAAATGTTGAGTTAAAGAGTTTGATTTCTTTTTCTTTTCTTTTTTTTAAACTTTTACTTCAAAATTATTATAACTCTAAATTATGAGTAATATTTAGAAATGAAATGACTTATCTTGACTTATTAGAGAGAACATCTTCGACGATTACATATCAAAAGAAATGTCTTCATTTATAAAAGATATCTTATAAACTTTTAACTTTAGAAAAACATCAAAATGAAAGTTTATTAATTTATCGAAAAAGATTGCATGCTTAGAACCTATATATATATATATATATATATATATATATATCTACATATAGTTCATGGCCTAAGATATGGCGATTTTTAAAGCTAGAAATCATATTTATCTTGTACAACAACTTTTTGCTCTTTTCCCCTTTTAAAACAAAATTATGTTATTTTTTAGAATATCCAAAAGTCACCTCATTATTTTTCTACATAATTGCACCTATTCTTATTACTCTTCAAAAGGCACGTCTCTCTCTCTTCCTAATATCTTAATACTAAATAAAAGTTACTATTAACGAAACAGCGTTACTTCAGTTTCTTCAAATACGTATGTGCCACTGCTTCTTCTTTTGGAAGCCTCATCAGTATGTTCTTTTAAAAGTTTTGTTTGAACATCAAAACATCACTATTAATTTTGTTAACCATGTAATCGTACTGACCAATCACTTTTGTTTCACCCCCCTTACATTTGAGGCAACTTCTCTAATTCTTTTCTTTTCCTTGTATTTTTATGATTTTCCTTCTATATTTACACAGTTGTATTTCAATGGTTGGATGCTAAGATTCCAATATATTTGTATACATGTGCTTTACTGAATTTATGCGCTCACTTTTGTCGGAATGTTGAGCGGCTATTGAAGGTATTTATAAAGCCTTGACTTGGGTTGTTATAAACAATTTATCATTTCTTCTCTTTAAAGAATTACAAAATGCAAAAGGTCCTTTGAATCTTCATATCTCCAAACATGCAAGGGTATTTGAAATATGTAACTTCTATTCTCAAATTTTCACTCATCTCGTTAACAAGTTAAACACATTTACACTTTGGGACGTCTTTTTGTGATCAAAATCCTTAATTACTTTTTTCTATTTTTTTTTTTCATTTTTTCTTTAATTTTCAATTTTCATTATTCTTAAAATTCAGATCAACTCTTAATGCCTTGAGTCTATTTTTTACATGCCTTTATTATTGGGAAGTTAGAGAAGAAGAAAGGGAGAATTAACGCTTTTTTCCAAAAAAAAGTGGGTAGGGATCTATAAAAAAAGAAGAAAAAGAGAGATAAATGGGGAAAGGAATAGATTAGTTAAGACTAAAATTAAAGAAAGATTGACACTATTTGATTTAACAAATTTGGGGTGATGGATTCAATTTTGTGTTTTTCCTTATATTTTTCTGTTGTAATTGTTTATACTCTAATAAAAGAAAAAAATTTAGATACTTGTGAATTACAAAGGAAAAGAAGGCCAAAAAGGAGCCAGCACTATTAATGGTACAATCCCAGTATTTGTAGAATCTTCCTATACTTCTATAAGTAACTCTTTGATACTTCTCTCTCTTTTTCTTAAAAACGTAGTTTACGTCATAACTCTTTGATACTTGTATTATATTCTACATAAAATAAATTACTTATGTAAGTAATATTCAACAATTCCCTTTAGAATTATTTAGGGGAAATTTTTTAAAAGTACAATTAACTAAAATTTTATCTTCCAAAGATATTAAATGAAGAGAGACAATTGTAGTGCGCACAATCTTATTACATAATTGTTAATATTATTTATGAACATTATTTATATAGGAATGTTACACAATTAATTTATCTTTCAAAGATATTAATTGAAGAGAGACAATTGTAGTGTGCACAATCTTATTGCATGGTTGTTAATATTATTTATGAATATCATTTGTATAGGAACATTACACAATTAACTTCTCTTTGAGAAGACTGTTTAAAACTACAAATAGGTATGCAATATTTTATTTATTTGTTTTGTTTCTGCTTAATTTTTCCCTTTGAACATTTGATTTGATTTTATTTTTTGTATATTTGTCTCAGATGATATAGTTTTAATTTTAGTACTGCAACTTTTTTTTTTATATCAATTCAATTACAAAATAAAATATCTAATGTGGTTAATTAACTGGTGAGAAAAACAAGAGAGGGAACTGATGTTGATCGCACTGTCGTAGTTGGTTGGGGTCAGCAACGTTCCACCGCGCAGAAACCAAATTCCCACTTTCGCCACATATACACTTTAGCCTCTTCAATCTTTTACTCTATACAACAAAGCAAACAATCTTGATCTTTATTAGTCACTGCCAAAAAATCTTAGAAAAGTTACTCTCTTTCTTCTTTCAATCCCTCCACCCCCACAAATGGCTTCTTTGTCCATATCTGTAAAGCTGGCTCTTCCAAATTCACTGCTCTATTCTCAAACCCCTAAAACCCTCCTTTGTCACAACCTAAGCATTGTCTCAAGATCCAATTTTTATGGTCTCAAGCTCCTTCATTCCCCTTCTTTGACAACCCCTTCTTCAACTAAAAGTTCTATTTTTGCTAAGGTACATACATTGCTTTCCCATTTTACTGCTTTTTCTTTTTTCTGATTTCTTTAAACACTATTAGGAATTTGTGGCATGTTTGGTAGGTGGAAAAAGGCTCAGTGCCTCCACCATTCACATTAAAAGATCAAGATGGAAAAGATGTGAGCCTCTCCAAGTTCAAAGGCAAGCCCGTGGTGGTTTATTTCTATCCTGCTGATGAATCTCCTGGCTGTACAAAACAGGTAGAGTAAAAAGACACCTTAAATGTGCGTCTAAATTCTGTTAATTTCACATTGGTTTGCACATTTATAATCATAGAAAAAACATGATTTTGCTCGTCTTATTGAAGTACAATCCAAAAATAACTGCACGTAATGCAAAAAATTGCACAAAGAAGGGCCTTCTTAGTATGATGAGCTGATAATTAAAATTAATTAGCTGAATAGATGCGAATGAAATCTTCCTCTTAATGCTAAGTATTTGATTACAAGGTTAGGTTGGATGAACTCTATAAATTTTATCACCGAAAGATATCTACAAACTGAAGTCCTATTCTGTGAAGTTAGATCATATGAGACTACTCTCATTTTTTTTTGGGTAAAAATGTAAATAATACCATTAACTCCCAAAAAACCCATACACCTAAAGAGCACCTATCTTCCAAAACCACCTTCTAGGAAGGGTGCAATGAAGGACAGGCCTCCGACGTAGTCCGTGAAGCAACTAATTACAAAGTAACTTGTGTAGTAAACTATGACAACTGCTAGCTTTCCTCAAATCCTTGAGTAATTCTATTCTTTCTATGTCTATTGTTCCTCTGAAGATCTTCCAGTTTACAATTGTTCCTCTGAAGATCTTCCGGTTCCTTGCTTTCCACACATGGTACACCACTGCTCCCCAAATTGCTGCAATCAGCTCCTTGTGGAATTGTTTCCATTGCCTTCTCTTTATCCCTTCAAGCACCTTATGAACTTCTCCTTGTCGTATAGTAATTCCTGTCCGTTGTTGGATGCCTTCTCGCACAACTCCTATCCAGTCACATTCTGCAGATAAATGCAGAGGGGTCTCCACAGCTTGGCTGGTGCAAAGACGACATGTTTCATCTTCCACTGGGATATGTAGATGCCTCGGTCTATCCTTTGTAAGCAATCTGCCCTGTACAGCTAGCCATACTATAATTCTATGTTTTGGTTGAGCTAATGCAGTCCAGATTAGTTCTGCAATCTTTAGTCTCCCATGTTGTCCCACCAATGCATTATAGCTGCCAGTGATAGAATATTGTCCATCTTGCTTCATGTTGTATCTTCCCTGAGTGTACCAGCCTTGCATGACTTATTTTAGTGCATTCACCTTCTTCCAATACCAACTGCAATCTTGGGGTGGTTTATGAGTCCAAATATTAGTATCAGTCTTCATGTAGATGCTATGCACTCACTTCACACATAAGGAGTTTTTCTTCTCGGCTAATTGCCAGAGTAGCTTCCCAACAGATGCCATGTTCCAACTCCTGCAATTTTTGATATTAAGTTCCCCATATTTCTTTGGCCAACACACCTTTTCCCCTGCCACTAATGATACTTTCTTTTTCTCATCTGTACTTCCCCACAAATATTTCCTGCATTTCCTATCAACTTCTTTGAGAATGCTTTGGGGTAGGATGAAGGCAGATCCCCAGAAGCTATGGATAGAAAATAGAACTGCTAATATGACCTGTAGTCTCCCTGCATAGGAGATCCGCTTTGAGTACATAGTGGTGATCCTATTGGTGATTTTGTCAACTAGTTGACATTCCAATTTACTTCATTTCGTGGATGAAAGAGGCAGACCAAGATACCTGGTGGGAAAGGTACCTTGTGTAAATCCAGTTATTTCAATCAATTGGTCCCTGGTTTGATCATCAATCCCAGCCATAAAGATACTTGATTTGTCCATGTTTGCAACCAGCCCTGAAACATCACTAGAATGTGATAAGGCCTCCATTACTCTTTTGACAAAATTGGTATTTGCTTTGCAGAAGATCCTAAGATCATTTGCAAATATCAAGTGTGAAAGTTTTAATTGTTTACACATGGGGTGGAATGCAAAATCAGGAAGGGCACACATGTATTTCAATACTCTGGACAAGTACTCCATAACAAGTACAAACAGGAGAGGAGACCTAGGATCGCCTTGTCTAAGTCCTCTTTTTCCATCAAAGTAGCCATGCTCTTCCCCATTTACTTTAATAGTAAAGGTTGGAGAGGATACACAAGTCATCACTCATCACTAAGTTTATAAATCTGTCTGGAAATCCATAGCCCCTTAGTACGACCTCTAGGAACTCCCAGCTTACCATGTCATAAGCTTTTCTTAGATCAATTTTCATCAGGCATCTTGGTGTAGTTTTCCACCACAGTGTCTCAATAAGTCGTGGCAAATCAGTACATTGTGTACTATGGATCTACCTTGCACAATGGCAGACTGATTGTCAGCCACAATTACACTTATTGCATCTTTAAGTCTAGTATAGATCATCTTTGATATGCACTTGTAAAGCACATTGCAACATGATATAGGCCTATACTGGTTGGCTCTTTTAGGTGCTGCAGTCTTTGGAATCAATGCTATGTTAGTTGAGTTTAGCTGTTTCAAGAGTCTTCCATTGTGGAGAAATTCCAGAATAGCATCAGTTATGTCTTTGCCTACAATATCCCAGGCTGCCTTGAAGAAACCACTACCATATCCACTTTGGACCTGGACTCTTGTTTTGATCAATTTGGAAGATAGCTTTTTTAACATCCTTCTCAGTGTATGGCTTAAGTAGTTTAAGCTGCTGTATAATGTCCAGTACTCGACCATTCTTCAGCTTACTGTTAAAAGCCTTAACTCTGTGATCACTCCTTCTTCCTAGCAGTTCCTTATAATAATCAATAAAAGTATTGGCAATTGTATCAGGATCAGTCTGCCAATTACATGCTGCATCCTTCAGTTGAGTGGTATTGAGTGGTATCCTGCTTCAATCTTCTATGCTTGATTACAGAGTAAAAGTACTTGGTGTTATCATCACCAAGTTTCACTTAGTTTGCCTTGCTCTTCTGTTGAAGGTACATTTCAGCTATATAGGAAGATTGTCTGAATTTGGTGTATTTCTCTTTCTCAAGTTCTTGGTAAGCAGCATTCAAAGGGTCAGAGTGAAGAAGCTCCTAGGCTTGCCTAAGAGCCTCTCTGTCCATCTCAGATTCAGTAACAAGATTCCTGAAGGATTTAGCATTTAGCTTCTTCAACTTCCTTTTCCTAAGTTTTAACCTTCTAACTACCTGTAGCATTGCACAGCCTTGAATCCGCACATTCCATCCAGCTTCCACCTTGTCTCTAAATTGAGGATGTGTGGCCCAAACATTACAATACTGAAATGACCTCCTGATCCTAAGATTCTCATCCAGCAGTATAATATTTTACTGGGCTATGATCACTTATACTTTCTGGAAGGTAAGTTGATGTATTTAGTGGCATTGTGTCCAACCATTCATTGCTGATGAAAATCCGATCTATTTTTGAAAATATCCTCTGTCCACTATTGCTTCTATCATTCCATGTTTATCTTTGCCCCAGATGAGGAAGCTCAATCCACCAACAAGTGTCCACACAGTGATGAAATTCTGAAACCTCTGCCCAAGTTATTGGATTACCTCCCACTTGATCTTCTGCAGTCAGTACTGAATTAAAGTCACCTATCCATGGTTGCTTGCACACCATACTGTAGTTCACCAATGTGTTCCATAGTTCCTTCCTCCCTTCTCATGTGTTAAAAGCTTACACAAAAGATATGACAAAATCCAGTTTCAATGTAATATATCGTATAGCACAAGTGACAACCTGAGCTGTTGTTCTAATGTCATCACAGTGTAGTAATTTGGCCTCCATGTAATCCATGTTCTCCCATTATAGTGAGCTACTAAGTTAGTGACATATGGACACCCCCCAAACATTTTTCCGGCGGTAGATTCAATCTTGTTACTCTTTATTTTTGTTTCTAGTAAACCAACTAGTCCCACCCTTTCATTACTGCAAAGGAATTTAACTTCTTTTTGCTTATTAGGGCAGTTAAGCCCTCTTATATTCCAGCATAGGCAGTTAACCATTCCCATAATTGGGAAACTTCTGGCCACCCACATTTGTGCCATTACCTTTTGACAGTTGTTTGTTGTTATCTTTATTATTCATGTTTACTATATTATCTTCTGTATTACTTGGACGTTCCTTGTTAGTACCTGAAATGTGTTTGGAGTTACCACCTTTTGTTGTTGGTTAATCCTCAACTATTGCTGCTGTTTAGCTCTAAGTTGCTCGGACTCGGGAGCAGGTGTCCGATATGGGTGCGGATCTAGAGGTCGGATCCTTCGTGATCTGACTTTTAAGATTCGGGGATACGGATCCAAGTGTTGATATGAGTGTGGAGATTCGGCTAAAAATAATTCAAATATCTAAAAATAGAGTTATAAAAATATGTCTAAATTATGTGAAGAACTTACAAGGTATTCCGAGAAGGAGAAAATATTGATCAAGAGTATAATTCGAGAAGGAAATAAAAGGAAAAGAACTGACATATAAATTTTTATATACTAGGTATTCCATTTTCTCCAATTTCACCCTAGCTTTCGTTTTTATTTCAGAAATGGTTATTTCGTTTTGGTCAAAGTACCCAAAATCGGTTGACCGGTTCCGGTGCNCCGAGCAGCTTAGGTTTAGCTTGGTTGCGACCATTTCTCTGAGGGGTAACCCCTACATTATCTTTGCGGCCTCCTGAGTTGGTTTCTACCTCCTTTGCAGTTTCCTCAGTTCCCTTTTTCTCCACTGGTAATTGCTGATTAACAGTCACTTGCTTCTCAACAGTAGGTGCTTTGTCATTCTTCTCCTGAACCACATTTTTTTGGCCTTCTTGAGACAATTGACCTCATCATGGCCATATTTCTCACTGTATTTACACAGGGTTGGCTTCCATTCATACAATACCTTCTGCTCTACCAAACTTCCTCTTTCATTCCTGAAGATAACATTATCTAGTAGGTTAGCATTCAGTTCTACCTCAATCAATAGTCTGGCAAAGTTCAACCCGTACTTGCTTTCAGTGTTTTGATCTATCATTAGTGGTTTACCTACCAAACTCCCCGTCTTACTCAGTCCCTTTGGACTCCAATATTAAAAGTCGAGCCCAGGAAATTTGATCCAAATTGGTACTGTGTACAACTCATCTCTAGTAAATTCCATGTCAGGATTCCAGGCCTTCACAATAAAGGGTTTATTATCAAAATGATAAATCCCCCCTTAATTACCTCATTTTTCCCCGCTCAGAATCAAATCGAACCAACACAATTGCATCTTTTAGCATGGCAATTTTATTGATTCCATGCTTTGCCCACAACCTTCTGATATACCCCTGTGACACAGTGAAGGGAGTGTGAGCACCTAGAACATAACACACCACCACATTCTTCCAATAGTCAATTTCAGAGCTTATGTTTCTAACTCGATGTCAACTATGGTTGAATCTGCAGGCAGTGTCGGAGCAACGTACTCCAATTTAAATCCTGCGTTTGACACTTTCGAGATGTCAAAATTGTCCCAAATTGATTGCTTCTTCTTTGGTACAGTCCTCTCTTCCTCTTCCACCATATCCGCTCATGATTTGTGCCCACTGCTTGCTGGGGAATGACTCCCAGCACTAGTTGAAGCTTGCACAACATTAGCCTACTGTTTCTGAGCTTGCAATTGAGAAATCTGTTCACTCTCTTTTTGATGAGTTACTGTTTCATTGATTTTCTATCCAATCTGAATCTCTTCTTGGATGTCTAAAGCTGCCTTATTCTTCTGCCCTCGAAGGGCATGGCCTTGTGATAATGTCGCCTGAGCTTGGAGAGCCTTCTGCGATGGCATGCATGCCCTCTTTCCCATGGCCGTAGCAGTTTAGCAAACGTGCGCCGAGAGAGAAAACATGCCTAATTTATACTTTTATAGTTATAGTTGTGGAAAATAGTATTCCAATAGACTACTCTCATTTACAAATTATATACCAAAACATACACAAGATATATGAATATTAGATTAACCATGATCATTGGACATCCGTACTTGTCTGAGTGGTCCCCCAACTTCCTTTGGCATGTCCTGAACATGATGAAACATATCTGGGAGGCGGCACTCCTGTAAGGTTCCCTCCATACTTAGTGCTAAGTATTTGACTACCAGGTTCTAGGTTGGATGACTAATTTTAATAGACTAGCAATTTCTCTGGAATAGCAGTGGGCCCCTGAATAGAGTGGCAGGCAAAGCTTTTGGTGAGATTGGAACCCTGCACCTAAGTGATGTTTAGTGAAGTTTACCATTAGACTACAACATGCTTTAACTCCTATTCCGAGTGATGCTCAATTCAAGTCTGACCATTGTGTGGCTTGTCTAATATATTAGACTTTTGGGTAGCTCCAGTATTTCACCTGGAACTTCTTGAGTGTATCTATGTTGGATGGATTATCTCCTGTATTACTGATTCAGAAAGACAGTGCAATTGGTGAAAAATATTATCGTTAGACATAAATTAATTGTAATCCAATCCAGGAAATTTCTCAAATATGTAAACAAATTTATTATTTACCTTAATTTCATCTGAAATAGGTTTGAGACAAGTTAAAAATACAAGATTAGACCTACTGTTTGAATTCTATTTTAGAGATAACTAGAATTATGTCATCATTCTTATTTTATTTCTTTTTTTAGCTGGAAGTTAATTGCTTTACTCCTGAAAGCAAAACTGTTCTCTTCATGCCTCAAAAGTGTAAGCATAAAAAGTTACCATGGTGATCGCAAATGTGTGAACATTTTATACAGGCCTGTTCCTTCAGGGACTCGTATGAAAAGTTCAAGCAAGCAGGAGCGGAAGTTGTTGGGATTAGTGGTGACGATCCAGAATCCCACAAGGTATTATAGATTTACTTGGTTGGTTAAAATAGTTAGCTCGAGTTCGTCTATGATAGGTAGTCAGTAATCTGGAGTTTTGATTCTTATAATCAAATCAAATTACATTAAGCTTGCTCTTCCTATATGTGTCTTTTCGTCTAAAATTTGCAAAGAGTATTAATAGCTGTGGTTTTACCCAAAAATACCTTGTATGTTTGTTTTTATACACAACTGGTCAACTCCCTGATGGTCTGATTTCACAGACAGACAACAATCAGGTTCCTGTTTCTAATTGTACTTGGGAGAGCTGGATAGTTAATTACTTAGGCTGTATTGATTTGAATTTCTATTGGCACCCTGTCAAAATTATACTTTTCTTTGCAAGATAGATTTACATTTCATTACTTCTTATGTCAAGGATGTACACCAACTCATCATGTTTCAAACTTCTTGTATTTTTTTCTTCTTATTATGAGTTTGTATTCTCTACATTTCTGCTGTTCGATATTGCCAACTGTTATAACCGAGGTATTTGGGTTGTACAGGCTTTTGCAAAGAAATACAGACTTCCATATACCTTACTGAGTGATGAAGGCGACCAGGTTAGAAAAGAATGGGGAGTCCCAGCGGACCTTTTTGGTACATTGCCTGGAAGACAAACTTATGTACTTGACAAGAATGGAGTTGTTCAACTTGTATATAACAATCAGTTCCAACCTGAAAAGCATATTGATGAGACATTGAACCTACTTCAAAGTCTCTGAATGTCCACCAAATTTTCTTTGAATATTTCCATTTCTCCCACTAGTTTCCTTTTATGCTTAATATATATATTATGTGATTCTGATAAGATATACAACCACTGTAGTTAGATGTCAAAAGGAATTATCACTTCAGGATCATAGCACAAATTATGCTCTAGATTGTTGAATCACTATATGTGAGCTATGTTGCGCGGGCTCGTCAAAAATATTGTCTAGTGTGTCGGACTCTCCAAAAATAAATATTGTTGCACCTGATAGCAGAATTATTTATTGAGCTCAATCGTATACTATTTGAAGGTTTCTGGTTAACAAATGTTTAGTTCTTACACACCGATTCGCTTAGAAGTTTTACGCTCAGGTGGCTTAAGAATCAATTTCTAGTAGCGCATATAGTAAGTTAAGATTGGTAACTTAGAACATATGGTAGGTAAGATGGTAAATAGTATGTTATAACTGGTTTAAATGTATTTCACTTTAAAATATCAATTATTTTAAGTTATTTTTTGGGTTTGCTTTATTTTTTTTCTTTGGGAAACTATTTGTGTGTTTGGATTTGTTTCCAGAAGAAATAGTTTTGCATGTGTTTAAATAATTATTTTTCCAGAAAATAACCTTTTGGGTTTTTTATTTTACTTAAAATGGAATAGCTATTTTTGCAAGACAAATGTTTTTTTTATTTTTGGTTTTGTTAAAACAGAAAATTTATCTGCATTTATTAAAATAAATGAACAATAAAAAATTGTTCAATAAATAAATGAAATTAGCAAATAGTCACTTTTAATCCTTGCTATTAGAGTTTAATTGGTATTTAAAAAGCAATTAGCATTTAGTTACTTCTTTTACACAAATATTTTTTTGGAGAAAAATACTCCCAATTAAGACATGAAACAATTCCGGCAATTGGCGTTGAAGTTCAAAAATTTTACAAGTGAAACACCAATTTAATATGCTGAATTTCAAACTACAGTAACGATTCATGGGGTTCAAACCTTTATAAGTTCAAACCCTAATAACAATTTATGGGGTTCAAACTTTACGATCTAAGTGCGAAGATTTATTGGAGTTTTAAACCATAGGAATGATTCTTAAGATTCAAACCTTTATAAGTTTAAATCCCAATAACATTTCATAGGATTTGAAAATTCAAACCTTTTTAAATGGAAGTGAATAAGTGATGATTAGAACCTTTTTTGACAAAGCATATGAATAGCTGGAAAACAGAGTTAGCCTTCTGAAGTTTTTGGCAGCCTCTTCATAAATACTCTTATCAGTAATAAGTCAAATAAGTAATTAAAAAAAGTACACATCCGTCGCAACAGAAAAATATCTTGGTTAATAAAAGTCTCACTTAGGCATCCTGTACTTGTGAAGCAATTTAAAATCTATATTTTAAAGAAAGATTTTAAAGAAATTTCTAGGCTTTTTGTCTTTTTCTCTCATGACCGGATTTCTAACCGAGTCGCGATTAGCACTCGGTGTGCCTTAACTTGACCGAGCAACCTTCTAATCTATTCTTTCTTTTCTACTAAGCGGGTCAATATGTAAAACTAGAAGAGACATCTTTCTTCAAAGACTGAAAATTTAATCTAAAAACATTATGCAAAAGTCCAGTTCTTAACATTCAATATCGAATAGAAACAAAATAAAATCTAAACTTTACTTTCTGATTTGGTAACGTATATGAAGCCTCTGTAGAATCTGGGTGGATTGCTCTGGACTCCAGCTAACCCTCAACTAGAAATAATAAAAATAAAATAAAGAATAAAGTCAAGCAATAAATTCTATGGCCTGAGACGAAGCTCATCAAACGTCTGCTAGGACGGGAGGAGGTCATAACTCGTGGCATGCTCGTCTATATAACCTGCGCCTTTATTGATATAAGCCAATGTAGGTTCCATAGAAAATATCATAGACCCAAATTTCACCAAGTTGTGATAGCACCTAACCCAACCTACTAGATAAGCCAACTAACTTATAACATCATCCAAATTGATAATCATTAATAAATCAAGAAGTACAAATGCAGAAATTGATACAGCTATTCCCAAAAACGGGTGGTACAAGTCATGAGCAACTAAGAATTGAAATTTTACAATATTGAGCAAGTAGATATACATCATATGTTTGAATATATATAAACAAAAATACAAATTTTAAACTACCATGAACAAGATGGTAGCTAATAACTGGAACGCTAAAGTCTTCAATGCTCATCCTCGAACTCCACGGCCGCTTAGCCCCAAAATCTGCATGCAAGATGCAGAAGTGCAGTATGAGTACAACCAATCCCATGTACACATTGAGTATCTTGACTAACCTCAGTAAAGTAGTGGTGATGTTTTAAGTCAAAAGATACTCACTTTATAAACCTGTGCAAGTAATGAGCAGAAAGCAAAACAAGAGCATACACGAATAATGATAAAAGGATCAAATAAGAGAAAAACTCAATTAGTTTCACGGTCATAACAATGTAAGCAAAACCTTAGGAAGCAAATTCCTCGAAAGGAGGAGAAATATACAAGAAACAAGTACAAGGCATCATTTCTGATGCATTGTGCAACTCGATCCAATTATAATACCATTGTAGTGTGCAACCCGATCTAATAATCATACCGTTACAACGTACAACTAGACCCAATACATATCGTTACAACGTGCAACCCATTCCTAATCACATCATTCTATATAGAATCGCTCAACATATAGGTAATAGTAATACACCAGGTAGGATACACGTAAATAACAATAACAAACAAGGCAGGTTGCATATAAGTAACAATGATAAACAAGATAGGATATACATAAGTGACAGTAACAAACAAGATAAGATATGTCTGTGTGCGCGTGAGACATTAACAATAAGATAGGATGTACATAAAGTAACAATGACAGACAATGTAGGAAGCATATAAGTAACAATAACAGATAAGGTAAATGCATGTAAGTAACAGTAATAGTCAAGGTAAGATGCATGTAGGTAACAGTAACGACCAAGGTATGATGTATATATATATGTGAATGAGGAAAGAATAAACATAATATAATACATGGCTCTTACCCTCACCAACACAGAAACAACCATCGTGCCATGAACTCTCATCCTCACGGCACAAAAATACTCATCTTGCCAATATCATATCAAATCGCACAGAAACACCCATCATGCTAATATTATATCAAATTACAAGAAAACATCCATCATGCTAGTATCTCTCACCTCACTGCACAGAACACTAGTCATGCAATATGTCACAACCTAAAATCCCAACCAAGGAGTCGTGATGGCGCCTAACACCACTTTCTAGGCAAGCCAGTACTTAGCAACAATAAATAAAGTGTCACGACCCAAAACCATAACCGGTCGTGATGACGCCTAACGCACTTGCTAGGCAAGCCAAACATAACAAAAATAAAATATAAATACTGAATTAATAGAAATTGTACAATTCTAAGACTGACTAACATAAACAACAACGTCGATACATACCAAATCCCCGGAACCGGTAAATACAGAGTCATGAGCTCTAAAACAAAAGTACAAATTTGAAACGCCAAATAACAACACTGTCTGAATGAAAAACAACAACACATAAAGGAAAAGAGATGCCAGACTATGGTCGAGATGCAACTCTACCTCGTCTCTCCAAGATACTCAGCAACAAACCTCAGCTACTGGTGGTTCGGTCAAACACCTAGATCTACACAATTAAGTGCAGAGTATAGTATGAGCACAACTGACCCCATGTACTCAACAAGTATCATAACTAATCTCGGCGAGGTAAAAGAAGCAAGCATTATAAATGATACTCGCTAATCACCTATGCAATTCATAAATTCCAACAAGTATAGAACAATAATGGGATCAAGTCATGAATCATAGATAGAACCACCTTGGTGCACACAATAACATAACGTACTCTGCTCAGTCAACAATCCAGCATATAAAGAAGCTATGCATCAAGTCAGGTAAATAACCAAGGAAATTGCACGTAAAGATGAAATGCAATAACCAAATCAAACACTGGCCAGCCTTTCTTCAGAACTTCAATTAGCGAACCAAATCCCTGATCAGCTTTCCTCAAACATCGTGTACACCATCTAGAAGGAACATGAGAGGGTGACCCTAGGGGGACGGATTCATATCCACACGCAACATAGATAACTCACCTGTTGCACGAATAACTCACATGCCAATAATATCAATATCTCAGATACGCACAGACAACTCACATGTTGCACGGACAAATCACGTGCCAACTCACATGTTGCACAGATAAATCATGTGTCAATATCACATGTTGCAGGCTTAATGTCACAATCTACCTGGCGTGTCCACAGGCTTAATATCATAATCCGCCTGGCGTGGTCATAAGCTACCAGTCCAATCGATATCACACAGAAAGCAGTTATATAAGAATACATGTACATGATTAATGAACATCAAATTTTATACTCTTGGAAAAGTATAAGTGATACGCTAAGGTATATGCATGTGCAAAGTATGCTATCACAACTCAGCCAGGCAAATACATCACGAAAGTAGCAATTTATTAAGTTCAATCAGGAGATTAACCTTTATGTAACCTCAAACATGGTACAAATAGCTCACAAAAGAAGTACAGATAGAAGAAACATCACAATATAAAGCTTAGAAATCAACTCAAGGCATATCATAGCCTATGCACAACCCCGACCATGAATAAATACCCCGATGCATGCACATGGGCTCAACCCCACACATGTGCGTCACCCGTAGCATGCATCTATCACAAATAACTCAGGCAACTAGTTGCCTCAACTAAGTTTAGGTAAGATACTTACCTCAAGCAAACTAAATCAGTACTCTAAGAAGCCCTTCCTACGTGAATCAAGCTCCGAACAACTCGAATCTAGTCAAAATAACTTATTATCATCAATAAAAGCCATAGGAAAAAAATTTCAAATGATAAAGCTATGTTCTTTATCGAAATCAAAAAGTCAACCCGGGCCCATACCTTGGAACCCGACAAAACTCACAAATTCCAAACACCATTCCAATACGAGTCCAAATATATATGTTTCATACAAATCCGACCTCAAATATATCCTCAAATCATCAATTTATGCTTTAGAAAAGGTTTTACTAAAATCCTCAATTTCTTCACTTAGATTCACCAATCAAATGCTCAAATCAAGGTTGGAATCATGAATAATATACAAATCCGAGTAAAAAAACACTTACTCCAATCCAAATTGTGAAAATCCCCTCCAAAATCACCCAAATCCGAGCTCTATAACTCA